CTCAAAGTGCAGGATAAATAGAAAGTAACTAAGAGTGGGTTTTTTAACAGTTAACTTTCCCAGACTTCAGGTTTTAAAGGCAACTTCAGGCACAAATACAGCTGTGGCTGCATCTGCAGCAGAAACACCCCAGAGTGTCCTTGTCTCCAGCAGCTGGCCATCCTTGAGCTGCATGGGCATGGCTGGCCATGGGCCTCTTTCTGTACAGACAAGGAACCAAGCCACTTCTCTTTTAATCATGGAAAAAAAAAAAGGAGGAAGAAGAGGGGGTGTGAAGAGACTACATTGGTGTTTCTCTGCTCTCAGGCTATTTAAAGAAGTAATCTTGCTGAAATACATGTCTGAAAGTGGAAGGGATACCTACAGGTTCCTGAACGCATTATAAAACAATCAGTCCATACCCACGTAGAAAAATAGCTGAGATGTCTACACGGAAAACAAATCGTGTCAGAGTGGAAGTCGGGTGGTTCTGCCTGGGTGGGTGGCCTCGTGAAGGAGGGGGAAGCACTAATTTAAAATGTGTTGACTCATAAAGCTTTTGACACTATCCCATATGGTACTTTCCTAAATAAACTAGGTAAATGTGGACTGGTTGAAACTGCTGTTAAGTGGGTGAAGCGCCAGTTGGAAAACTGTAGTCAGAGAAAGCAAATATCAATATTTTCCTACCAAAGAGGGAGCACATGTCAGGAGGACCACACGGGGTCTGTTCCCAGTTCAGCATTACTTGGTTTATATGTTTGCAGCTTGCATGATGAAAAAGGGAATGGGCATACAGATATGTCATACTGACACTGCAAGAGAGATACCAGGGATTCTCCAGAGGGCACGACTAATTCAGAATGGTCCTGTGAATCAGGAATAAATTAATAGACAACTTTGAGGGATGGAAAATAAAACAAAAGGGATGAATAATAAGAGAATGACCCAACTAGACAAGCCTATTGCTGAAAAGTGTCCAGGGAATTGTAGTGGATTAGGAGCTGAATGCAAATTGACAAACTTCCCACAAAAAAGAGAGATGATGTGTCTAGGACAGCTCAGAAAATTATTCAGTAATCTGAATTATTCAGTAATCTACCTGATTATTCAGTAATCTACCTGATGTGCTGTCTTGACTTCTGGACAGCAGATGCTAGGGAGGCTGTAGGCACATCACAAGTCCAGGAGCAGCTGGCGGCACTAACAGTATATTTAAGTGTGTTAGATGGAACAGTTTCAACGTGAGGCTAAACATCTGCATGATGTTCACCAACAACATGGCTTGAGCAATATGGAGAAGCGATTCCTTAGGTTTTGTTATTTTCATGTTGCCTAAAATTAACAAGTTCTATCCAAATTCATGATTGGCTTGGGCTGCTCCAAAATTGCCTTTTGACTACAAGTGATTCACTGGAGAAAAAAAAAAAAGACTACGGGGAGGGCCAGAACTGCATTAATCAAGGCCTGAGAGGAGAATTTGTTCTAATCAACACATGCAATTGTGAGTGTCCTTGGGAGCTGTAACTCAGTGGCTGGTGACCAAGAGCTGTGCCGTGGTTGTGTGGTGCTGCAGGGCTGGGTGAAGCTTGGATCTAGTGAGAGGACATTCAGAAAAGAGCCATGGGTAATGAAGGATGGAGCTGTGTTTTGTTGAACAGAGATGTTACAGGGCTTTTTTTCATCCAGTGAAATGAAACGCCTCAGAACAGTTTTAATACAGTGCTGATCAAGGGTGTCTAAAAAGTCTTCCAAAACACAGAGTGGACAGGATGCTGGGCCATCTAGTCTAGGTCATGCTTTGCTTAAAAAGGTTGGGCCAGATGATCCTTGAGTTCCCTTCCAGCCTGGGATTCTAGGATTTTATGATTCTATGATCCCTGTCTCAGCCCAGGCAATCCCAAGCTCAGCGCACACCTTGCTCAGTGTTCCCAGTTTGTGAGTGGCCAGCAGGTAAATTTCTGCTTGTGAAGCAGGGCACATGGCAGCAGAAGGCACCAGGAGCAGTTCAGGTATACTGATGTTGCTGAGATTGCACTTGCTTCATGTGAAAATGAGGAGATGTAGGCAGGTGATGTTGAAGGTTTGATGACATCCAACAGGAGCATTGATGGTGGGATGGGGAAGCAGAGGGATATGCCGAACAATTTTGTACCTAACTGAGACCAGCATGAAATAAATTTTTAAGATACAGGTGTATATATATATCAGGTTTCTGATTTCTCTTCCAGTCCTGTCAGTAGCACTGTCGTGTTTTGCTTTTTCTATCCACACTGCTGCTGAGCTGTAGATTAACATGCTACAGCTGCTTTGAATGGGCACTAATTGCTGCACAAACACTCAGTAGGTATTATACTGACAAAGTTTACAAAGAATTAAGCTTGTCCATAGTTACCTCAGGCTTTCCCAGAGGAGCTGAATTCAGTAAAAGGCAAGCCCTTTGGAAATGAGAGTTAAAGGTGCATGTCAGCGTAACTTAAATCCTGCTTGCTTTGAATAACAGTTAGCACTGCCATGAGGGCCCTGCTTTCGGGGACAAATTCTGTCTGCCTTCTGCATATAGAGCAGCATGTTCAGTCAGGCAGGTACGAGAACAGTGGATATGTGTTTAATGCTTTTTTTTTTTGAACCCTGAAATTTGTCTTTGTGCGAGTTTTGCTGATCAGGATTACCTGCACTGGCTTTTGTATTTTAATCTTCTGCTCTGTGAAAGCAAAGCGTATACTTACAAGGTTTTTACAGTGCAAGCCACAGGATGACCCTAAGGCCTGCACTTTCTCTTGCCCATTACACTTAGATATATTCCTCAATGAGAAAATAACATGTGTGCTGTAGTTGACGTAGCCTGCCAAACACATTCTTCCCAGATGCATCTACTTCTTTTGGTGACAGACCTATCAGGAACTGTGGGCTTCCGCCCCTTGCCAATGACTCTTTCTCCAGCTCCCTGGTAGTCAAAAATGTGATCTGACTGTATCTTTAGTATTTCCATTATTTTATATAACTGCAGCTAACAAAGTAAAGCAGCCAGAATAAGGGCAGGGGATTCCTACTGTCTCGGCGCCATTCTGGCAGGAGGCAGAGAGGAGATTGTCAGCATGCACCTTAATTCTACATTTTGTCATGTTCTGAGGTTTGGAGACTGCTGGGTGATGTTCTGGAGGGGCTGGGCTACAGCCAGGCAAGCTTACCCTGTTCAGAAGTGCGACTGGAAAATCAGATATGTGCTAGGAACAGTGCTCAGACTCACGTTAATTTAATCTGACTCTTATTTTTCTTCCAAAACTAGGGATGCTAATCATTATTAAAGCTGACACCGTTTTGAGTTTAAAATGTGGTCATTTCTGATGGACTTTTTTTATTTTCAAAAAAGCATGCGTACTAAGGTATAATGAAAAAGGTCTTGGAATCTTAATTGTTGTGGTTGCAGCAATGTGCCTGCTATAAAGCATATCTAAAATAAAGCTTTTCAGCACTTGCCAGTAGTGAGGCTTCACAAGTGTAGATTGCTTAAAAATTCTTCTGTGTGGTGGTTAATGTTAAGTCTCCTTCTTATTACAAACCCATTATTACAAAGGTTGCTCATTACCCGGAGGGGAGAATGTGGGTAATTCCAATTTGCCTCTTTTTTATAAGGTCTTATTGTGCTTCTGGCAGACTTCTCTGACATGTTGCTGCACATAACAGAGAAGAAAGAGTTTGTATGCCTGAAAAATGAGGATTCTGTTTTCATAGTATAAGTGTATTGATGCTGAAAGCAATAAATGCCATGTTTATTAGAGCTCTGAAACAAATACTTCCTGGACATGTGTGGAGAAGGAATAACCTGCAGTTTATCAAATGAAAGAGCAGCTTGAATACCTGACATAGAAATGAAAAATGGAATTTCTTGTATGCTTGTATTTTAGGAAGAAATGCATATTATGCTAAGGTAACAGTGATATGTGTCCAAGAATCATTGTTTAGGTAGCAATCTGATCTCACATCTGCATGGGACTTTTCCACTCACAGCAGAGAGTAGTGCTTTCTCTACACATGCACCATTTCATGTGGTGGAAAGGCAGACTGGAATACTGGAGGCAAAACCTCCCCTGGATATGGGGGGGAAATCTGGGATAGAATTGGTATATTGCTCCTTTGAACTGGAGAAGAGAATGTTGCTGCTTTTGTGTGTGGTGCCTGAGATAAAAAAAAGGAGACAATTTTTTTTTATTCTCTCAGGGGTTTTGAGATGCTGCTGTCGTAAGCGTGGTATAAACCGGCATATTTTAGTCCGATCATATAGACAAATAGTTGTTTATGCAGGATTACTTCTGATAGGCATTTCTTGCATTCAGTTTCTATTCATAGGAATATTCAAAACTATAGTACCTTTATTTTTATGAGTCCGCAAAAGAAACCAAAAAAACCCCTGTGCCATTCAATGAATCCCTATTGGAGGTTAGTTCTGTTGATACCAGCTACTGATTTTTTAGGGGGTTTTATCCTCTTCCTCATATTTTTGTTTGATGGACTTGTTATATAAGAGAAAGAGAAGAGGCTGGAAATGTTCAGTTCTCGTTTTTGACATGGTTTGGGGGATTTTCAGAGCTGTTTGCTGGCAGTGAAAAGGTAAGTTCTGTTGGGGCCAGGGCTCCATCCCTAAGCCATGTGGCTTTGGCCGTGCCCAGCCACCTGTTCCCCTGTTCCCTGAAGACAACATATCCTGGTGGAAATGTCGGAGGCTGCTTGATGCTTTTGATTGTGTTGCTCAGGGCCATCCCACTCTCCCAGAGTGACAGCAGGCTCAGGGAAGCTCCACAGCTGTATTCATTGCATATTTAGGTACCCAAATGTGTCTCCAATCTGTGTTTTAATCATTAACTGCAGAAGGTGTCCTTTTCATGTGACTTGTGGAAACATATTTCCATTTTTAATTACTCATCTGTTTGTTTTAATCTTTAACTGTTTCGTTAACGTTCATTAATTATTTGCTTTGTATTTATGTTCTGTTTGCTTTCTTTTGCCTTCATTGCCACTAGGTTACGGTGCAACCTGGATGCTGCCAGCCGGTTAGCGGATGAGCATGCACTGATAGCCTCCTATGTGACCCGGCTGCAGAGCAGTGCACGGTTAGTGTTAGGAGCGTGTTCCGGGAGCAGTGATGGGTACAGTAATGCTGCTTCCTCTGGGGAGGGATGTTCTAGTCAAAGGCATGTGGCCTCAGTTGACAAATAGAAGGCAGTGTATTTGGTATTCTCTAAAATATGCTGAAAATACACAAACACATATGCACACACACACAAACCCCATCAGATAGCAAGTCTGAATTGGTGTCCATTCCCACCCTGTGTTCACAATGTACAGAATCCCTTACATGGACTGATTAACATCATCCCAAACAGGTTAGAATTTTCTTCTCCATAACCAGTCTGGAATCTTGTTTCACCAGCAGAAAACTAGTTTCCACCTTAATTTTTTCACAGCCACTTCATGCCCATTCATTCTTGTGCCAGCATTACCCTATAACTCGACCTGTTCTTTCTGTTTACTGCTTTTACCTCTCCTCCCCAAATGCAGTCACAAGTAGATGTCCCATCCTCTCACAGTATTTGTTACTTGGACTAACAAGCAAGCGCTTTCAATCCCATCAACATGACCTGCTGAATATGACTGCTTCTGTCTGTGCCTCTACAAAAAAAAAGTTAATGCATTGAAGAAGTAGTTTGTTTTGTCTCCCTTTTAGTATTTGTGCACGTTTTTATTTCCTGTCTGTATCTATGTAGAGAAATTCTACCCTAAAGCCCCAAAATGCAGCTCTCCCATTTCAGCACAGGACATAGCTAAGAGGTTTTCCATCTTCCACTTTTGGACCTAATTAAATTATGCCTTTACAGAGCTAGAGCTGTGCTGGAAAGGAAAAGGAGGTTTAGTGATCTGGAGGCTATGTGTAAAAGCCTTGCTCTATCCATGTTGTCATCCTCTGGATAATACTTTGAGAGCTCTATTTCATCACTGCTGTGTAAAAATTTGTATTCCCCTCTACATAGCAAAGTGTGTTCTGGCTGTCTAGATCTCTGGGGAAAGTCAGGTTTCTTCTTGGTAGTGAATCACTGTTATTATCACTATCACCTCCTATGAACTGAAAGCCCATAATATTGTCCACAAGACAATAAAAAATAAGGAATTCCATACTCTCACCTTCAGTCAATTACTGTAGCCATAGGATTTCAAGATACAAAGGAGTGCATCTTCAAGAGTATATGATAGATTGAAATACTGTATGTAGCTCATAGCTGCCATGTTACAACCAGTTGGAGTAGAGGTTCTCAACCTTTTAGGTCCTTAAATTTAATGAAGTCTCTTGGTACTATTACAAGACTAACAGTGTACTCCTTGAAGGAGCCAAACATGAAGAAGATAATTTAAATACTAGTTTCAATGTGCATGGGAGTGTCTTCCAAGTCAGCACAAGAGACTGATGAAATCTGTGCTCCATTGCCACTTGTTTTGATCTTCACCCCTCACCACCCCAGAAATCTGGTATAACAGTATATCTGTCTGCTTTTGACAGGTTGTGTGGAGATCCTAAGTACACTCCAGCCAGCTGTCACAGACTGTCTCTAAGATAACAGTAAATCTCATTTACAGACAGGTTTTCCTGTAATAACCGTCACTTTGCTTCCCCTCTTCTGTTCTCCTGCTTGTATCTGCTCTGGGCTGTTGTTGGAGACAAGGTATGGGACTGCAGTTCTGGCCCAGTTGCTCCTTACAGCCCCTCTCCTGCCAGGGCAGCATAACCATCAGGACCCGAAAAGACCTTTACAGCATCTTCTCTGTCGTCTCACACCAGTCTGCAGGCATTTGGACATTTAAGAGGCTTTTAGGCAATGTCCTAGGCTTTAACTTCTGGTCAGCCCTGAAGTGATCCATCAGTTGGGCTAGATGATTGTTGTAGGTCCCTTCCAACTGAAATAGCCTATCCTATCCTATCCTATCCTATCCTATCCTATCCTATCCTATCCTATCCATATAATTCTGTTTGGAAGAGACCTTAAAAGCTCATCTAGTTCCAACCCCCTGCCACGGGCAGGGACACCTTCCACTAGACCAGGTTGTTCAAAGCCCTGTCCATCCTGGCCTTGAACACTGCCAGGGATGGGGCAGCCACAGCTTCTCTGGACAACCTGGCCAGGGCCTCACCACCCTCAACATAAACAATTCCTTATATCTAGTCTGAATCACCCGTCTTTCAGTTTAAAGCCATTACCCTTGTTCATCCCTGTGCTAAACTGCTGAGCCTAATACCTTGTTTCTCTAAAAATAGAACTTTCAGAGAACACTGTGATGGAGAAGCCACTCATTTCATTGACAGTCTGTCCCAGTGATAAATGATGACTCTTAAAGAGGAGCCCTACTTCGAATCTCAACTTACCTTTTTCCACTGCCAGTCACTGATTTTGTGTATACTTACTTTTGCTCTTTATCACTCAGTGTCCTTTCCTATCATTCAGCCAAACTTTGAGAGCCTTTAAGCCATGACTAGCTAGATTCCTAAGATTTTTCATCATATTAAATATTTAATTCATTGTTGTCCTCCAACCAAGAAGTCGATCCAAGCTACAGAAGGAATATAGCAAACAGAACTCAGTGGACTTCATTTATTTTATGATAGTATACTTTTTTTTTACCTACTGTATTCTAGTGGCAACAAGCCAAATTGGTTAAGTGCTTTTTGAAGAAATAATGGAAAATCCCTACCCTAAAGGATGTGCTGCAGGCAGACAGCTGCAGAGTGCAGCAGATGACACCATATACAGTTTGAAAGCTTACGGAGCTGATAAGTTGTGCTTTATTACTTGGGCAGTCATTTGTTACATGTTTTTTAAGCTCAACATTCATAGCTTACATTCCACATAGTTCAGCAAGCCTGCTTTATCTCTGGCCCCATGAGGCCTCTATTACAGCTCCACTTTTCACCACAAAAATGAAGTAGCCCTACCTGGAGTGTCAGCATTTTTGTGTATTCTGCGCTTCTGGCAGAAGACAACTGGCCACAGGATTTGTATTGTTTATTTTTGGTCAGTTGATCTAGGTGGATGGATGGGTGGTTAGCTGCTTGGCTGGTTTGATTTGGTTTCTTTTAAATTCCTGACTCTCTGGAACTGCACTTGTCTGCAGCACTCCTGGTTTTAAAAGGAAAAGATCATTTTTCTTGAAGATACTCTGTCCCCAGGATCCTTACTCTTGTCTCACCATCAGTTGACACCTGGGCCATGTGGCCCTTCAGGTCAGTGCTGAAGAATCAGCCATGCCTTCTCTTGCTGTCCTCTGATACTTCCCAGCATTGTAAGTTCCTAAGCAGTATTGGAAGGAGCTTAAGATCTCAAACTTGCCCCCATGATGTATCGTCTCTTACATCCTTTACTGACTGCCCATCATTAGCCAATACTTTGGTTGTCCAACCTCATTTTTGTGTTAGTGTTTGACAGCAGGGCACTGCCTTTCTCTCTACAGACTGCATTTGACCCCATTTTGATGGGCATGGTTTCATGGTTTGGTCAGCCTCAAGCTGACCAAAGTGCAGAGTGCTGGTTTTTAGCTTCTCCTCTGCCCATTCATCCTGCCAGTGCACCCACTCTCGCCACTCTGTTGACTCCTGGGTTTATGCAGCCACCTGCCGAGCTGGCTCAGGGAACAGCCCTGGCAAAAAAAACAAGCTATTGCTTTGTCTGGTCACTCTTAAGCCAATTCAGTTTCTTTCACTGGCTCATCACATTGCCCCAGCATCTCTGCCCACGCAGCAGAGGAGGGCAGAGGCCGAGAGCATCCCTTTCGTGCCTGCACACGTTGTGTTAGAACAGGGTGACTGCAGCAGCGATGCTTCCTGCACGTGTTCATCACATTGTCCCAGATATTTCCATTGACACTTGAAAATCAGCATCACTTCACCCTCTCTCTCTCCCCTCGGGGTGCTCATGTTCTGTGGCTCCCAACAGTCTGGTTCTGTCTCATTTTCTCAGTGCCTCTGCAACAGACCTGGAATGGCCCAAGATTGATGCTTCCTTGTGAATGTCAAAGCCTCCCCGTGGCAGACCCTTCCATCTGCATTACCTATGTGCTATGATCTGCATCTCCAAAGGAAGAAGCGGGAGTGCTCAAGAAATAACTGACTAATCAGTGCTGTATAAGTAGCACAATACCTGGCACAGTATTTTTAAGATTGCAAAGTCTATAATATTGCCTTATTATCAAAATTCTGCTGTGAAGATCTCTGAGCTCTCACTCACGTACTGTCCTCCCTTCTGAGCTCTGGCCTTAAACCAGGCTTATTCGTTCCCTTTGCTGCCTTACCTGTTCTTGAACTGCTGTCCTCATGTCTGTGTGTTGGCTGTTCCTCCAGGACCGTTCCGCACAGGTAGCTTTGGATAACGAAGGGGCTTGCTCAGGCAGGGGAAGGTTCGCAGCCTGCAGGGCTGCTGTTGTCCAAAAGGACAGGGAGCTCCATGGAGTGCCACTCACAAGAGCGTTTTCAGGGCGGGAATCTTTCACAATGTCTCCACAGAAATTAAAACTGCAAAGTGAGTTTTCCTTCATGATGTGATGTAAAGAGTTCTGGGTATTGGTTAGATTGCATTTTATGCCCTCTCTGCAGCTGTAGGCTGCACTGGTGGTTCATCTGTTCAGACTGGTTTATATTAAAGAATATGCAGGAGGGCCAGGAGCTGTACCGGAACTCCATTTCGTATCCATCTGGGAAATATTTCTGATTGCAAAAGTAATTTTTTTTTTAATTATTATTACTATTTTTTTAACTACAGGTTTTCTTCAAGAAAGGTCCAGGAGCTGGGAGAGGTATTAGGAAATGCCAGGTTATGGAAAGGGCAGAAGGGACGGATGATCTGCATTCCTATAAAAGCACAAAAAAACTTTGACAGCCAAAATTGCAGAGGAAAGCTAAACAAAACCAATGTCAAATTCAGAAAGTGGTGTGGGAAAGATTGTTCTTCAACAAAACAAAGAAATGAGAAAATGAATTAGTCTGAAGGTGTGTGAGGAGTTCATCAAGCCAAGCGTAAAACTCTGGGTTTTCTTCTCTTCAATCTGTTTTCCCACTGTTTTAGCTCACCTTTCACCAGTTCTTCCTGTTGCTCTGTTCAGTTTTAATCCAGCAGGCTGAACACAAGAGCATAGCAGTGCTGTTTATGCTCATTGTAGACCCATCTGTGTAAACTGTAGTCATATATCTATTAAATTCAGTTTGATGTTTCTACATCATCTCAAACTCATCATCTGGCAAACTTTCAGGATCTTAAAAGCTATCAAGTTGTTAAATCTGGTGTTGCAAAAAAAGAAATGAAATCTACATTTTTAAAATAAACATAATGAATGCAATACAGATTTGGTTCTTTAAGATAAACATAAATCTGAAATCTGAATAATGTAAACATAAATCTGTGAAATTAAGCTTAAAGAAATATAAATTATCTTGTGAAGTGGTAATAAAAGTAGCTTTTGCAGTGCACTGGGTGTGCATCTCTTTTCCTCTGCTGCTGCTTGTGGTGTAATTCTGGCCCCAAATTTTGCTGCAGGCGCACACGAGTACGGCGCTGCGTTATTTACAGCAGCCAGTGTGGTACTTGTGAATGCCACCTGAAACATATGCATAGCATGAGGCTGTGTTGCAACAAGGAACACATTGCTCATTTCCACATTAAACCTGGACTGTTTTCAGTTTATTCCCTATTAATGGAAGACTGTGGTGAGAAATCTTTGTACAGTAGCAAGACAACAAGCAACTATTGAATAGTTTGGTTAGATGTTGACTTAAAAAGCTGCTCTTTCATTTGGCTGATTCTCTGTGGCAAGGCCACTGTGCATCAAAACTGAGCTGGTCATGGATCTTAATGTTAGCTGGTTTCAATTAATACACCCTGAAAAGTATCATTTGTCCCCTTGTATGTGTATAGTTTAAAAGATAATTATTTGTGAATTGTAGAAACTAATGAGACACTAGATGGGGTGACCACACTAGGCTGATCATGTTAATGGTTAACACACACAGAGGAGATGATGCTCATGTTAAAGGTGAGAAAGATCCCTGTGTGCCTTTCACTTCTTAATCCTGGGGATCTGCCCCATTTGCTCTCTCTCCTTTTTCTGTTTCAGAATTCAGTGTCCCTTTCTTCTTTCACCACATGATGCTGTCACTGCTGCTGATGATTATTTGAGATATTTTTTTAGTACCTCTTTCAGCAACATTTCCAAGACATCTCAGCTACAGCCTGTCAGCTTGAGGCAGTGCAATGCAGAGGGAACTCTTTCATCCTTTGCTATATGAGGTGTGAAAGACCAAGTCTCACATCACCACATCTTGTACTTTCAGGTGTTGTAAGGGTAGTAAGTCAGGTGTAAGTCAGGCTGACTTACAAAGTGTTCTTTGCATTTAAGTTGATGTTGTTCAGTGATACAGTCCATTGTTTTTAGGTCAGCATGATTCCCCCTGTTCTTCCTTCTGGAAATCATCCTGACTCTGACACGTCATCCTGTGTTTCCTGAGGACAAAGCTTTTCTCGGTTATTTAGCTATTGGCCCCTTTTTACCTTGAATAAACCAAAAGGGTTTGCAAAAAAGCTCCTCAGAAACAAATTAAATTTGTTCCTACTGATGTGCATTTATGAACTGTTGAAAACAAGTCATTTTAATCATATAAAACTGGAATATGTGAATCCTGGAGAAAATACTACTAGGCAGAAGCAGAATGAAAAAGGGAATAATCTACATTATTTCCAGTGTGACTCTTTTTATTTCCCGTCTCTGTCGCTGCAATAATACATCCTTTCCTCTATCATCCCCTGGTATGAGTAATACCTGGAGGCGGCGGATACTGATGGGGTGTTTTGGGTTTTCCTTGGCAGTGTCCTGGACAGCCCCGGCAGGCTGGACGAGGAGCACAGGCTGATCGCCAGATACGCCGCCCGGCTGGCTGCTGAAGCTGGAAATGCAGTAAGTGAATATTCATCCCTCTTTACCAGCTGTGGAATACAGAAGGTGTTTTCAGAGTCTAATTAGTAGTTTAATGCTAATAGCAGCGTGAAATTGTCAGTTTTTTGTTTATTCAGCCGATGTGAAGGAGCAGGATGTGTTCCTTGTTTTCAGCAGAAATACTGCGCTCACAGGCCGCAGGGGAAGAGCAGGGAAGTGGGAAACAACACCACAGACTGTCAGAAATGAGGTCAGAGGCGAATAAGCAGATTAGTCCTACTTAGTCTAGAGAAGAATAAATACATAGATTCCCAAGGAAAACAAATTGTGGAACAAACGTTATGGAAGATATTTATTCCAGAAGGAAGGAGCCTGAGAGGGTGAAAGGAAGGTATTTTTGATGTTTGCAGTCTCTTAGAATAGAAGAAACTAAAGGAAACAGCCAGTTTTAAATTGGTAAAAATAAATACTGCTTAGCAGCAAATTGCTAAAGGAGATCATGGCAATTAAGAACTTCCTGAAATTCCACAGAATATTTGCAGTCTAGCTAGATGAGGAAGTACCCGCCTTTGCTGTTTTAGCCGTATGAAAGGAGAGGAGTGTTTGCGGAACAATTTCCCATGTCACCAAGTGGCAGTGGGTCTCCATCAAGTCACGGCTGCTGTTTTACAACACTTCCACTGAGCATGCCACTTAGAAGCACCTTGGCTTAGCACAAACTCCAAAAACTGGCTCCTCTTTCTGTCTGACAAAGGTGCACATCCTTAGGCCTGCTGTAGCAGCTTGGAACAGGCTGCACCAGAATTTCTTCCTGATATCTAACCTGAACTCCCTCTGTTTAAGTTTGAACCCATTACCCCTTATCACTACAATCCCTGATGAAGAGTCTCTCTCCAGCATCCTTGTAGACCCCCTTCAGATACTGGAAGGCTGCTACGAGGTCGCCAGTCTTCCATAGTAAATGAATTGTAGTAAGGAAATGTTTGTTTCTTTGCAAGAAGTGATAGGACAAGAAGAAATGGCCTCAAGTTGCACCAGGGGAGGTTTAGGTTGGATATCAGGAAAAATTTCTTCACTGAAAGTGTTGTCAAGCATTGGAACAGGCTGCCCAGGGAATTTGTTGAGTCACCATCCCTGGAGGGATTTAAAAGATGTATAGATGTGGCACGAACATTGTTCAGTGGTGGGCTTGGACTCAGTGATCCTAAAGGTCTTTTCCAACGTAAATGATTCTATGATTCTGTGATACCGCAAAACTGTAATTTTCTGTGTACTATGTCAGATAGAGCCCTTGTCTTCCACCACTGCCAGCAGTAGCAATGACGTCTCCAAGGCATCTTACCACTGTGGCAGAGCATGTGTCCTGCCACATGTTAGCATGGCTAGAGACACATCTTAAAATCAGTCTCCTTGTTCCCCTTTTCTTTACATATTTGTCATATAAATACTTTCACGTCCTTTCCCACAAGGTAGGCTTATGCCTCCTCATGATTTCTTTCGTGTGTGTGTTCAGCCGATAATCTTTGTCATATGGATGTGACCAGATATTTCTCTTTTGTAAAACTTTAATAAAAAAGAAATTACATTTTTTAAACCTTTTTAACTGTCAGTTCCCATTATCTCTGTCAAATGGTATGTTTGCATTTCTGAAGCTATCTAGTTCACTAGGACTATGTTCATGTTGAAATATTAAAGCAACACAGTGCAAACTTCCTGGCTTAGATGGAAAAGGAGGGGATTTCTATGTAATCTTCATATAAAATTGAAGTCGTTGAGACAGTAAGTGCTGAATCACTTTCACTCTGGAAGATAGTGGAAGAATTCTTACTCATTACTTGGCTTTTTCTGGTAGTAGTAAAGATGTATTGTGAAAACTGAAGAGTTACAATATTGGTTCTGAACGAACCCAATCTTTTAAAAATCTGTAGACTGCCTCAGCCTGTTTCTGCTACTTTGTAGTTCTGAAAGAAGTCAAAAATGAAGCAACTTCTTTGGGCGTAAAGAAAGGAGTATTTACAGTTTATTGAGACTTTTCAAAGACCTGCAGCAAATTACTGCTTTCTTTTCATCCAAATAAGTCACATCACAGGGTAGATGTCAAAGTGCTGCCAGGAATTGAAGTGTGGTAGAAAAAGTTGGTAAAAGTAGTAATAGTGTGTTTCCACTGCAACCAAAGCTTAACAGCAAGGAATCCAAAAGTTATTTACTGGGTCCAATCTCTATTCACCATCCAGAAATACTAATCAGCTGAAATGGATATATTTTTCATATTTTAAAGGAATTAGAGTTTAAGTGCTCTGCTTCATGGCAGGTTCTAATTATTTCTTGCCAACAGGAGATCCTCCCTCCCTAGCCAGCAGTTTGTATGAGTAGTGGCCAAGTTGGCCATTGCAGCTTGGTGGAGGAGCATCCTGCTGAGCTTTGGGATGGCATGCCGAGTCTGCAGGGCTTACTTCTGAGGAAATGGAATAGCTGAGATTTGTCAGCCACAGTTGTGGGTTTTTAATACTCTTCTTGCAACATTAAAACACGGAGAACAGGAGTAAATTAGAGGCTGGGAAATTCCAAACCAAAAAAATTGAAAAGGAAAAAAAAGGAACATTTGTTTCTTCTCATAAAGAATTAAAATAGGGAACATCAAATGAAAATCCCAATATAATAAACATTTCAGAGATCCAGCAGGAGAAAGATGCTCATTGAGTATATGGTACCCAGGCTACCAGCTTTAGAGTAATGACACAGTAGGATGTGCGGGCAAGGGAATGGTGTACATAGCAGAAATACACTGCATAACAGCATAAAGATATCACAGAAAAAGAGAAGAACTTGTGGGTTGAAATTACAAATTCTTAGTAAATAAATACCAACACCCTGATTAGCTGGTGGTAGTGAGCAGGAAATGTTGAGATAAAACAAGCTGCAAATTTAGGACAGGTAAGTAACAGTAGGAGATTTCAGCTGCCCACATAGGAACTAAACCTATGCCTTTTCAGAGGGAAATTCAGAAACACTTTGGAATGCAGTAAATGATGCTGCTTTGAACAACTTGTTTTAGAATCCACAGAAAGATGCACTCCTGGATTTGGTCTGGAGTGGTGCATCAGGATGAGTTTGAGTGGTGTTAACTGTGCTAGCTGGTTTGTAGTGGTAACTATCACATACTTAGCTTTAACAGCAGGAGAGGGCATACCAAGTAAATCCAGTACACAGATATACAAGAAAGGGGACTGTGTAAAAACTATTAGAAAAAATCCTAAAAGTGTCAGTCCAAAAAGCAGGAAGCCTGTGAGCTGCCTGGAGGCTGTTAAAAATCCTGTATTAGAAGCTCAGGAAGTCTGTATCGCTGGCAGAGGGAAGAGATCCTCCTCTATTCAGAGCTGGTGGGGCTACATCAGCGGTACTGTGTCTGGTGTGGGGCTCTGCAGTGCAAGAAGGACATGGGCATACTGGAGCAAGGGCAGGAGAGACCACTAAGATAGTTGGTGGCTGTAGTACATGACATACAAGTTGAGGCTGAGAGCTGGGTATGTTCAGGATGGAGAAGAGAAAGCAAAGGAGGATCTTACTGCTGTCTGCAGCTACCTGATGAGCCAGACATATGGGGACCTGTCGCACAGCCAGGGTCAGCCCACCAGAAGTGCACAGTGAAAGGACAACAGAAACAGAAGTTGCACAAAAGGAAATTCCAACTATAAATTAAGAAAAAATTTTCACTATGATAATAGTCAGATATTGTTGTCCAAGAGGTTGCCCAGAGAAAAACTGGAATCTTCCTCCTTGGAGACATTCAGAGCTCAACTAGACAAGTTCTTGAGCAACCTGTTGTGAATTGGCATGTGGACTAGAAATCTCCAAAGGTTCTTTCTCAACTGTATTTTTTCTATTAACTTGGACCTTAATAAAAGTGTAGAATGGAAATGAGCACCATGCAGGTGTTATGGAATGTTTGTCAATGGAGATTTTAAAACCAATATAGACCAGTATCTGCTGGGGATAATGTGAACAAAATCATTTCTTGATGTCCTCTCCAGCCCTTCCTCTGAGATCTAACACGGTTCATTTTTTAACACGCTCTAACTGCTAGAAATTAAGATGATCCCAAATACAGACTGTTCATACCACAACAGCCTAATGCAAAGTTTCGTGCTCTTTTCTTTGAAGCAGTTAGCAGTGGTCGCTACTGGAAATTTATGCTGGGCTATGAGGCAATGGATCTGACTCAGTCCATCAGTTTCTACTTTTTCTCAAATTAGGTAGAATGTTAGAACTGCCTTCTGCAGGCTTATTACTATAATAAATGTTACTTGTCATATGAATGCAAATACATTGCATCATTTTTTAGGGAAAATGCCTTTGCTTGAAGTCTTTGGGACAAAATAATTTGAGACAGATCTCAGAGTTAATTCTTGAAATCAAGTCTGTTTCTTCTTAAAGAATAAAAATCAATAGGGAGGGAGGAGAAGAAAGGAGAATGCATCATTTGTCTCTTGATACGTGCAAGTTGCTCAGTAGTGCAGCAGAGGCTGATGGCATGCAACCAGCGCAATTACGCACTTCTAGACAGCAGCTGAGCCTGTGTTCACTTAAACAAGTCCTGACTGGGCCACTCTTGTTTTCTTCAAGCCAGTCTTCAGATGACAAAATCCCTTTTATTGAATTTACGTTGCTCGGGGCTATGCCTGCTCTACCGGTTTGGTCACAGCAGAGTGCTGTGCATTAAAATAACTGTTGGCTGCCTCCACCAGACTGGTTAGTTAGAAAGCATAAGAGAGAAAAGCAAAAGGGAACCAGATGAATAAAGAGAAGAAATTAATGGAAAGCAAGCCAAATTTTGTTTAAATCCCAACTTTCAAGTTCGCAACTCCATCTGTTTGTCTCCCTCTGCTGATTTGTTCAGATTATTGGTCAGAGGTAAGAAATAACCTGGTACTTCATCACATTTTTGATAAAAGCAGGGGCTGGAAATGATCTCCTCTGTCCCCATCCCCCTTCCTTACTATCTCTTACAAAATCCCTTCCAC